CACACTAATAAAAAACAATTAAAACAGAAATGTAGACCGATGGAGCAAAATCAAAGACCAAACATGTATGTGTAACTTCACTTATTTAATGTTTACCAAAGATGCCAAAAACACTCTCTGAAAAAAGAAGGCATCTCCAACAAATGGTGCTCGGAAAAGTGGACATCTATGTGTAGAAGAATGAAATTAGACACATTTATCACCTTGCCCCAAAACTAACTCCAAGTTAGCAAAGACCTAAGCCTGGAGCACTGGCACAGCTAGAACCGTGGGCAGCACACTGTATGACACGGGTGTAATAAATAACCTTCTGAACAGAACTCCATTTGCCCAAGAATGAAGGCCAACAGTCGACAAGTGGGCCTTTACGAAGCTACAAGTCTCTGGCACAGCTAAAAACAAATCCCAAACAAACAAGGAACCCAACCATCTGGGTAAAGGAGGAGTCCACAGGATGGGAGGGAACCCTTGTTAGCTCTACAGCCGATGGAGAGTTAACATCCACAATATACAAAGAACTAAAACAAAACAAAACCAGCCAAGTGGTGAAGAGCAACAGAACAACCGACAACAAATGCTGGAAGGGATGATGGGGAGGTGTGGGGAGAAGTGAACCCTCATTCACTGTTGGTGGGGCTGCAAACTGGCGCAGGCACTCTGGAAATCAGTACGGAAGAATTCTCAAAAGGCTAAACATAAATTTTCCATATGATCCACTTAAACCACTCCTGGGGATATGCGCAAAGGACTTGACATTTTACTTAGATACTTGTTCGGCCATGTTCATTGCTGCTCTGTTCACAATAGATAGGATGTGGAAACATCCCAAGTGTCCTTCAGCTGAAGAATGAATATTGAAAATGTGGTGCGTACACACCGCAGAAGACTATTCAGCTGTAAAGAAAAGTAAAATCACCAACTTTGCAGATAAATGGATGGGACCAGAAAAGATGTTGAGTGAGGTAATCCAGCCCCAGAAATACAAGCATCACGTGTTCTCTTATCAGAGGCTCCTATATCCAGATCTTCAGATGTGAGCCTACAGCTTGGAGTGACTGCAGAACCAGAAAAATAAAATGGAACCACTGCCAGGAGAGGGGTGTTGGGGAACAATAGAGAGGGTAACTAGCAGGGTACAAGTAATCTAATCATGGGGCAGGTAAGGGGGGGGCTTCTTGGGTAGCAGGGAGGAGGTAAATACAGAAAAGATGGGAGAAGGATGAAGGGGAATGATAGGGTAAAAGTGATCTGATGGAGTGGGAAGAGGGTGCTTTAGGGAGAGCGGGTAATACAGAAGATGGAGGCGAGTAAAGGAGCAATATGGATGTCTGAAAAAGTCCCGAGGACTCGTATTAACTAAAACAACAAACTATAACACATGTCGGTGTATGAATATACATATATTGTTTCAGTGAACTTTTCTCATCTGGGCTGACAGTGCTCACTCCAGAAGCCTAAGACTCCCTAACCAAACCCAGCCACACCGGGCATGGGAAGCCCTCTTTCACAGGCTGGGCTCTCAGGTGCTCAGGCCATGAGGATGGGCACATCAGGGCAGTGATGACATCGCTGGACGTCACTGGCAGTGCCTCCTCCTGCTTCTGGACCCCACCGGAAGTGATGGTGGGGGGACCTGGGGTCGGCAGCTCTGGGCGCAAGAAGGAAGTGAGAGCTGGAGGCCGGAGGAAGCCCGTTCATGTATTTTTAAGAAGATTCTGGGGCAATCAAATCGCGACTGTACTTAGATTCTTTTAATTTGATCAAAAACTGTAACATTTAAATATTAGAATGATGGAATTTCAGCCTGCTAAGTTGTTCTGTAAGGGGTAAAATCCTTATTAACTTTCTGACAGAGGCTTGTTCTGTACCTCAGGTGTCCTCTAACTCGTGGTCTCCCTGCCTCAGCAGCACCGCACTCAGATTGATGAGAAATTCAGATATCAAACTGAAGAGCGCCTCTTGAGAGGACACATTCGGTTAAGGACTAGCGATCTCTCCCCTAGAGGCCTTTGCAGCCTCCTTACCAGCTAAAGTTGGTCATGCCGGACTTTGCATTTGTGCAATTTTCCCACACTGCAATTGCCCTGCTTTGAGGTGGTTTCCACCATTTCTTGGACCCTGAAGGGAATGGCCTGCAGAGCAGTCCACCCCTGCCTGGCTGTTAAGTTTGGGTACCCAGTTCTCAAGAAAGGGCGGCCTCTGGGTTTTGGACTCCACTTTTTTCTTAAGCCTGTTCTTCGCCCTGCCTCCACCTTCACCCTCCATCCCGTGTTTATCCTGTATCGGTATTTTCAAGTTTCTCTGTCAAGTCCTGTAACAACAGCCATTTCTGCTTCCAAAATTATCCTTCCTTCAGTGTTTGCCCAGGGAACTTTAGCTGGATCCTCCCCTCACAGCCCCGCAGCAGGGTCTGCACTTGGCTTACTACTCACTCAGTTTTTCACTCTAAGTTTTCCCAAGTCCATGTACAAAATATCCAATAAAAAATCCTCAATACAATGAAAATATAACCAGGATGGACAGGCTGATTATCTAAGCGAACCCCAGCCCTTCCCCTGTGAAGACTGAGGTGGGTCCTCCATACTTCCATGTTGTCAGTGTGCCTGTATGCTGTACTCTCATGTTGACAGTGCATCCTGATTTTCCCCAAGATGTCCTGGAAGTTTTTCCAAACTGGTATGCATGTGGACCTACGCAGCATTCTGTATGCCCTGATTTCTTATGTTTTCAAGCTTGATAAAAATTTTGAGTTTTTATCTTTATGGATTCTCAGGTTATTTTACCACTTTCTCTTTCAGAGTTATCAAAACCAGTTACCTTAAGCGGCTCTTATCAGGACAGCTGTATTAATTTCTATCCTCACCAAGAGGGTCAGAGTTTATAACTAACTAATGGCCATCTTACATTTGTATTTTTCTGTTAATTTATTACTTTTACATTTGTTGGACATTTAGATTTTTGTTCGTGAATGTGCACTTATCACTAATATTATTTACCCAGGTTAAATTTTCTTTTACTCAATAATTAGAGAACTATCACAGTGTAATAGTGAAACATGGATTCTGGAACAGGACACAAGGCTTACATATGCTTGTAACATGCAATGTTATCCCAGAAATGTTAGTTTAGTGCTAATGTTCATTTAATTATACACATGAAATAATTATACATGTAACACAAGGATAACCCCAATACATGATAGATGCTCAATGATAGTATTTTATAGTTTGCACAGTCTTTTATTATATCATGCATATTCACCTTTTGTGTTTACCTTTATCTACAGATATTTATAAGAAAAGAGTTTTAAAATATATTATTAGCATATGTTAACATATACATAATGAGTTTCATTATATTTTCATACATGGCCTCTTTCACATCTGTACACAAACACACACATTTGTTATTAAATCTTGTTACCTTTCCACTACTTCCCAGAAATGTATCTTAGTAATGCAATCAAATCAATCAATTTTCCCTCTGTGGCTGTCACTGTAACAGCCTTTTGTCTGACCATTTATTTAGTTGGCTGCTGTGGGGAGTTCTTCCCATCAGTCTTCCTTGGCACTTTAGTCAGGACCTTAAAGTACTTTTTTGTCTTCCAGACTTCATGCTTCATCTGAAGAACAGTGTTTTTTGTTTTTTATACCTTCTCTTTCCATATTATACTTCCAGAATGCTCTTATGTGTTGGAGGGCTTCACAAAGCCCCTCTGGCAGAACAGTGAATCATCGGTCATATTCTCCGTCTGTTGGTGTTTCCAACTTACGTTCCACAATCACCTTGTTTTGATTTTGTTTCCTGTCGCTGTGATAAGACACCGACAGAGGCAACCCCAGCAAGAAAGAGTTTGTGTGATCACAATCCCAGTTACAGTCCATCACTGCCAGGAAGCCAAGGTGGCTTGAAGAACTTGAAGAAGCCAGTCAGTCAAGAACAAAAACAATGAAATAAAGCTTGCATGCCACAGCTCAGCTTTTTCTTATTCAGCCCAGAGCCCAGGACATGAAATGGTGCTGGCCCTCATTCAGGGTGGGTCTCTCCACTTGAATTAATCCGAGTTAAGAACCACACTCGTGGGGCTACAGAGCTGGCTCGGTAGTTAAGAATGCTCACTGTTCTTGCATGTGACCCAAATTTGATTCTCAGCACCCATGCGTGGCAGCTCACACCTGCCTGTAACTACAGCTGCAGAGGATCCACATACATCCATATGTACACACACACACACACAAATAAATGATGTCCCCACAGAAATGCACACAGGCCAACCTCACCTAGACAATCTCTTAGGAAGACTCCCTATTAAGGTGATTCTAGATTGTTTCATTAACTATGAAAAGTAACCAACACATACCTTAAACTTTATATATAAAATCACACACACACACACACACACACACACACACTAAAATGAGATGACCTTTAAGATGTGGTCTTTTTTTTTATATTATAACAAATAGTATGTATGGAACACTTACATACGAAAAACTATATATTTGTGATATACATATATGTAACTAAGAAATGAAAAAAGTAGTCTGAGAACAAAAAAAGGCATTTCATTTAACTTGTTTGTGCTCTTGAGTTTTGTGCCACTCTCAGATGGCTCCTTGAAGGTAAAGGCGAGCCTCCCCTTGGTCTACGAACCACCCAGTCAACTTGCCCCTGTTCTCACTGCTGCTCACTCAGTGTCCACTAAGCACTGGGCATGGAGAACCACCACACTCAGCGATGGCCCTTCACACGCCTGCTCACTCAACAAGAACCCAGAGCAGTCAAAGCCCAGGCCAGAGGTGAAAATGCACACGGGGCACTGCCAACACTGTCCTAAGCACAACTAAGGCATACACAGCGATCATATCATACACAGCAATTCTTAAATAGCTGATTCTTTGGACAATTTAAATTATTTATTTATGAAGGAGGTCGTAAAATATTTTTATAATATACATAAGAAAAACTACATTTAAATGAGTAAGAAATATAATGGCATGTGATAGAATTTAGTGTTTATAAATGAAAACATCAATAATTAATACAGAAGAAATTCAAACTCTATTTAAAAATTAAAGCCATGAATTTAAATAATTCTAAGTTGCAAGAAGGTATTGGGCTTTTAAAGGTAATACATGGCTTACTATTTTTTCAGTGATCTCAAAACAGATTTCTAGAAATTGTCATATATGGACAAGAAAAAAAAACAGATAAGAACTTTGGCAAGCAAAGTAATAGTCCACAGCAGCTTGGTAAAATTGTAAATCTTATGTAAATATTCTTCAGTTTACATTTGTTCTTATTATAAGAGAAAAATAATAGGTCAATGAGAAATCTCTAAGCTATATGGCAAAATGACTATTTACTAAAGCCCATTACTGTGGAAATGTGCACCACACGGCATCCATAGAAACGGAGTGAAAGCAAGCCATGTGACTCTTAATGCTTCTATATAAAATATTTTAGCCCCAAATGCCACATAGTGTCACCACATCCACGTCTCTTCAGAAAGCAGCCTCAAGTTCATATTAAACTAGCAAGCTTTTGTTTGTCTTTTCCAATCTCTGCATTCAGTACTCCAGCCACAAGCCATATTAAGAGCCATCAATGACCACAACTTTTTAAAAAAGCCACCGAAGCTGGAGCAGAACTCAAACTAGATGTTTCTGTTTGTTATCTCCAGGAGACCTTAATACCTCAAAACCCACAGCTCCAAAAGACAACTCAGAACTTGATTACAATAGATATGTTTTGCCATGAATTAACTGACTCTTAGCTTTAGATTTAGCAAAATCAATTATCATGAACATCATAAGTGTTTGTTAAACACTTATGTTTGTTAAACATAAGTGTTTAACAAACACTTATGAATGCAAGAGAAACTGCGTGAAGTTTTACATAGAAAAAATATAAATACTGCACAATATGTAGTGAATATTTGCACAAACCCTTTTATATTTAAAGCATAAAACACAATTCGCAAATCTGGTGCTTTTAACAGTGTCTTCTTAAGACAGCTTTTGACACAGCTAGCAAGCCTCTCCACGGTATGGGAGCTGCCTCAGTTTAAGGCTTTCCGACAGGCTTGTAGCAAGCATCAGGCTGCCAGAGGCGAATATCAACAATGACCTGGTTAAGTTTCTGCATCCAGAGATCCCGCTCTTCTTTAGTATCTGCAGAGAGCCAGTTCCTGTAAGGACAAAGAGAGGTCAGCTCTCCTCCCACCATTCCATGCCCCGCACCCCCGACACCTTTGCCAGGAAAACATAAATCCCTGAACAAACCAAGACTTGCTGCCTAACTTCTAAAGGATGCTAACCAAGAGCCATGCAGGAAGTGCCTCTCTGGTTTCGTTAACTAATCGTCACTCACACTAAGAGTTTCTTAAGTGTTTCCTTTTGTTTTCTGAGAAGGAATCTCAGGTCTCATTGAATGACTTCTACACATCCCCATATCTAAATAAAGAAACAACCTGATGAATAAAGACTGTGTCACATTCTCATCTCCATCCCTAATCAGAACCTGCTCATTGAAGACTGTCTTCAAGCTTCTCTTGGGCATTTGTGTGGGGTAGTATTTTTGATGACATGACATAAACTAGAGTCATCTGGGAAAAGGGAACCCCAATTGAAAAAAAAAAAAGTCTTCACCAGATTGGCCTGAAGGTAACACTGCGGGGCATTTTCTTGATTAAAGATTGGTGTGGGTGGGCCTAGCCCATTATGGCTGGCACTACCACTCGGCAGGTGGTCCTGGGTTTAAGCAAGCAGGCTGAGCAAGCCATGAGGAGCAAGTTGGTAAGCAGCGTTCCTCCATGGCTTCAGGACCTGTTTCGGTTCCTGCCCTGACTGCCCTCAGCGATAGACCGTGTCTCAGAAGTAAAAGCCAAACAAACACCTTCCTCAGGTTGCTTTTGGCCACAATGTTTATACTTAGTGATAAACTTGGGCATCTTGTACTTAAGATGACGTTTCCAAGAGTTTAGTTTGTTAACTCTCCCCCAGAAATCTGCAGACTAGAATTAAATGGATTTTGTAAGTAATCTAATCAATTTCTTGGTTTCTTAATGGAGAGACATGCTTGAGTTCTCAACTTCACATGAAATCTGGAAGCTAAACCCAAAGATTACCAGCTAACAGCCTGGAGAACAGCCATGTGCGGCTGAGAGTCAGCCTAAATAATACACTTTCTTAATTAAATTCAGTCAGTTGTTTAGGTTGCTTTTTTACTGTTCTGTTTTCTCACCAGGACTTTACATTTTTCAGTGTTGAGGACTATCACTGATGTTTTCCACATGCCTAAGAACAAAGCTGGCCATCACTTAGCTGGCAGAAATAAGCAGGGAACCAGTACATACTTGGTGACACAGAGCGTGTCCCTGCATTGGCTCACAAGAGTCTCTCGGTCGTCTTCTCTTTGTGGTCGGACAGTAATTAACTCCAGAGTGTTGCGTCTTGCACAAAATTCTCTATTGGCTGGTTCTATTTGATGACTGATACAATTGGCCAGGTTTATCCTTCCTATGGGAGTCTTTAAAATTAAAATGTAAAAAGTATTAGTAGAAAACAAGCAAGGTTATTTAAGTCAGTAAGTATTAAGCAGTGTTTAAGTTTATAAATTAAAGTTTAAAAGCCATCAGCTTAAAATTTAATATTTAACAACCAGGAAACAGATAAGCATGAAGGAGCCAAGCACAGAAACTAGCTCAGCACCCTGGGCCTTCTCTTGGCTTAGGTCATGCACACATCACTCTCTGAAGGGTGTCCTTAGCAAACTAGTAGAGCCCCAGGACCTCTTACCAGTATCGGGCTGCACACACACCCACTTAAAGAACAGGGATAAGTGCCCCCTTTCCTCTACTTGATAGCGGACAGCTACTATTCAAACACCAGGGAACACAAGCCAGGAACAGGCAGAGGACTAATCTGGCCCATCAAGTTTGGGTACATGCTCATGTAAACCTCTAAGAAAACCCCGTGTCTTCCATGTTATGACTATGTAAGCATATGTACACACGTGCACACACACACACACACACGCACACACACGCACGCACACATACCTGTAGCCACATTTGAACATGCACTCACACATACACTACATATAGATCCAAACACTGTAAATCATTTTAAAAATATAGATAGATAGAAAAACCAGGAAGAAATAAAAGCAACCAATATAGATAAACTCACTTTAGACAACAGAAGGTTCCTCAATTTTTGTTTGTTTTGTTTTATAGAGACAGGGTTTCTCTGTGTGGCCTTAATTACCCTGGACTCACTCTATAGTCCAGTCTGTCCTTGAATTCAAAGAGATCCACCTGCCTCTGCCTCCCTGGGTGCTGGAATTACAGGCAAATGCCACTGTGCCCAGCAACTCAATTTTTTTTAAATAGAATTACCATATGATCCCATTAGAGAAGTGAGTGGAATTGCTCTAGAAATAAAATCAGTATGTCAAAGAGACATCATTGTAGGATTATTTACAATAGTTACAATACAGAAAAAATACCAGAGTCCTTCAAAATATGAATTAATTAAAAACTATGACATACACACACGATGGGTTCTTCTGCTTTTAACAACAAACTGATTTGTGAAGGATGAACAGGATGAAGCTAGAGATACTATGATAGCTGAAATATGTCAGGCTCAAGTCCCAGCTACATCAATCCTTGGCTTATGCCCAATGTACTTAAAATCCTATCCATAGATACTTGCTAAGCCATGTTCATTGTTGCTCAATTCACAACAGTTAGGAAATGGGGAACATACAAAGGATGAAATAATATTCAGCTGTAATTCACAACAGTTAGGAAACGGGGTACATTCAAAGGATGAAATAATATTCAGCTGTAAAGAAAATGAAATAATGCGATTTTCAGACAAATAGATGAAACAAGAAAATATACTGAGTGAAGTAATCTAGATCCAGAAAGACAAACACATACAAAAATAAATCTTTTTAAAAAAATTACTAATTTTAATGACTATAATGTAATGCTATTTAGTTACTATTAAAAACGTTACAGGCATGTCTATCGCTTTAAGACAGATATTACAAAAGCGTTTTGTTTGAAAAGACGAATGAACTCCTAAGGGTCTGAGGGTGTGGGTAGGTAGTACCAGCCTTGCCCAGCAAGTGTTCTGAACACAAGGCTGCGGGCTCAGGCTCCAGCACAAGCTGGGAAGCAAGGGACATGATTCAGGAGACTATGTGATTACTACTATATATTTTTAGCTATAGAAGGGGTACACAACCAAAACATGAACAGTTATTGTTATTTGTTAGTGCATACAGAAGGGAATCTAAGGCGAGGACACAGGGGACATGCATTCATGAAGCACCACAAAAGCGCAGCAGGACTTTCACCACAGACTAGGGCTGTGTCAATTACCTTTCGCCTCTCATCATCTGGGTATGTCCAGTAAGAGATACAGTTTCCAGAGAGAACACACCATCTTCGATGCCAGGCACCAAAGCCACTAACATCTTCAAATATGGTCTGGAAGTTAATTGAAACACTGATATTAGATGATAATAGAAACTTTTGTTTGTTTGCTTTGAGACAGGGTTTCCTCTGAGTAGCTGCCCTGCCTCTCCTGGAACTTACTATGTAAATCAGCCTGGCCTTGAACTCACAGAGATCTTCCTACTTCTGCCTCACAGTGCTGGGATTAAGGTGTGCACCACATGGATAACATAAGAAACTTCAGAAAAAGTTTCCACATGCTGTGATGTTTTTATATGAAAATATATTTGCATTATTTTATCTTGTCTTTTACTTCACTAATGAAAGTCTGATTGTCCCTCTCAAAAATGCCTAGAGGACTGTCTAGATCAAGCCCCAAGCCTTTAACAGCGAGGCAGAGGCCGGTGATCACTGTGTCTTCAAGGCCAACCAGAGCTACAAAGCAAATTTCAGGGTGTCTAGAGCTAAATGAGAGAGACTGTCTTAAAAACAATCAAACAAAAAACACTAGAGTAACGACAAAATTGAGATGGCCAATATATACTCTTTGTAGAATGATGCCAAAATTTCTAAGTGGCGCCATTTTTTACAATAAAATGTTGCAAGAAACCCACTACTTCCATTTCAAGTGTCAAAGAGAGAAACAGGTTTACTCTCTCAGCACTATCAGCCCCCAAACCTGCACAAGGCAGGTGAAGCTGAGCATGCCCCTGCCTTCGTTCTCACTCACCCTGTGAAAAGGTCATGTGACACCCAAAGGTGATGAGACCCACAGGCTTTAGGAAAGCAGAAGAAAGGGTAACAAAGAACAGAAGATGGTACTCACTAGAAAACCTTTCTCCTCAACACTTGAATTCACTTGACAGCTTATTTTTAAACAGATGTGACCTTCCAAAGGAGATAAGAAAGGTACCTGTGAAGAAAAGGGGGGAATTATTTGTAAAATTGTTTCAAAGTGTGACTTTCTTGATAAACAATGTACAGAGAATACTATTCCCTGAAAATACACCACATTCTAAAGCCAAAGTATAAAAGGTCCACTGGTTTCTTAGCAGCAGGTACTCTTTAAAGAGCAAATACATTCAAGGTAGAATTTTACAGAAATAAAAGGCCCAAGTTCCAAATGAATGTGAGAAAAGAAAAGAGATTTAAGAATAAGACGGCTGAGCCCACTCCTTTATCAGAGGAGAAGATGCTCAGGAGGAGTCTGGACAGACTGGACGTTTACATTCCTATAATGCAACATTACTTATCAGTAAAGAAAAATGAACACAAAGAGGGAAAGCCAATCCTTAAATCTAAATGAAATTGCAAAGAACTGCAAATAATCAAAACAATCAAAAAGAACACCTGGATGAATCAAACTTCCCAGTTTCACAAATTAACTAAAAGTGCAAATAATGAAAATAGTATGCTAGCAGGCTAGGGATAGACAACAGGCAAATGGATGGAACTGAGAGCCGGGGAAGGCTGAAGATGTGGCCGTGCAACACGCACAAGGCCCTGCCTGTCTGCAGGACTGAAAGACAGAGACCAGAAATAAGCCCAAATACTGACGCTCAATTATTTGTTGCGTTTTTACTGCTAAATTTTTAAAAACTGTTCTAAGAAACAGAGCAGTCTTGAAGAAGAGGTATTGAGGAAACTTTCACATGCAAAAGACTAAGGCTGTTGTCTTCATTGAGTTCCCATCGTAGTGCTAAAACACCATGACCAAAAGCAACTTGGAGAGGAAAGGGCTATTTTGTCTTACACTTTCAGTCAGTCCATCACTGAGTAAAGTCAGGGCAGGTACCTGGAGGCAGGAACCGTGGAGGAGTGCTGATGGCTGGCTTGCACAGGCTGCTATCTTATGCCCCCAGGACCATCTGCCTAGTAATGCCACTGCACACAGTAAGCTGGGCCCTCCCACATCAATCAAGAAAATGCTCTATAGCCTTGCCCACAAGCCAATCTTGGAAGTATTTTCTCAATTTGAGTTCATAATCTCAAATAATTCTAGCTCCTGTCAAACTGACAAGAAAACTAAGGAAGGACAGATAGACTTCGACTTCACGCCATAAATAACGGTTAACCCAGAATAGATAATGACTTAATGAGAGCCAATATCACAAAAAATATCTTAGAAGAAAACATACAAGTAAAATTTCATGATCATACATTTAGCAATAAATATTCAGATATGATCTAAAAATCACAAGTAACACAAGAATAAGCTTCATCAAAATTAAAAACCTTTCAGAACAGAAGTCCCTCAAAAATTAAGAATTACTGAGTCCCTGATCAAAATACAGAAAATAAATGACTGCTGAGTGGAGGTGGGGGATGATAATGTGACAGAGGAAGGGGCAGTGACATGGGATGTGCTAACTTCAGGGTCATGGCATAGCCATCTACTTCAGGGGTCATGGCACAGCCATCTACTTCAGGGTCATGGCACGGCCATCTACTCTTGAACTGAACAGTGGGCATTACCTGTACAGGATCTCCACGAGATTAGCCTGTCAACATTCTGTCTTGGAAGGGGAAGGAAGGAGCTCCCAGACCCACCTCTCCATGAAGACTTACAGGCAGATTAACAGTTGATTGGGGAGGGAAAGATATTTCCTTAGTGGTGAAGCCACAGAAGGTGCTAATGTTTCTGGAGTAAATGTGATCAAAATATATGCATGTATAAAAAGAAGAAACGAAAACGCACTAATATGTTATAATAGTGTATGTTAATAAAAACTTTTAAAAACAGTGGGGCTGGAGAGGTGGCTCAGTGGTTAAGAGCACTGGCTGTTCTTCCAGAGGTCCTGAGTTCAATTCTCAACAACAACATGGTGGCTCACAACCGTCTAAAATGAGATCTGCTGCCCTCTTCTGATGAGCAAGCATTTATGCAAGGCAAAATACTGTATACATAATAAATAAATCTTTAAAAAAAAAATGAAATCACACACACACAAATTGGCACAATTATAGACAAGAGTGGTGGCCCAAGTATAATCCAAGCAGTGGGGAAGTGGAGACAGGCAGGACACAGAACTCAAGACCATCCTCAGATACATAGCAAATTCAAGGCAAGCATGGCTACTTGAGGCTTTGTCTCAAAACACCAACAACCCCCCCACACACAAACACAAAAACAAATAAAAACAAACCCAAAAAGTGTTTGGCACCAAGCCTGACAACCTGAGTTTGATCCCCAGGACCCAAAGAGAGGAAGACTGTTCTCTGACTTACATAGAATTGCTACATATGACATGAAAAAGCACACAAAGCAAATAAATGTAATTAAAAAAAAAAAGACTATCATGATGCTATAATTACTTTTCTTAGTTTGAAGCAAAGGAATTGGTTCTCAAAGTCATATCTGCATTACTCACAATAACTGAGAAACAGAAACGTGTCAATCAAAATGATTAAATGTGTAGTGCTAGAAAAGACAAAGAACTCAACGGCAAAAGAGCCAAGAAACAAAATGTAATGCAAATCAAATTCACAAGAAAGGTGGTCATGGGGCTCAGACTTACATCATAGAAGGAGGAGTGTCTCAAATGTGAGGGTAGAGCCTGTCTCAAAACAGTGAGCCACTTCACAGCTCCTGGGACGGTTAAGTCTTAGAAAGAGAAGCTGAGGAAGCGGAACCTCTTTCATCGGTAGGTATACCCAACGTTCTAAGTTACGTGAAAAAGTTTGCCAGATCTTTATTAGGATAAGCCAAATTATCAATGTGACTCTCCAGCCATGTTTCCGAAGATAAGCCCCCAACAGCCAAAACAGGCACTCATACAAATTACATGAACATATACCCACAGAAGCAAGCCAAAAAGACAGAAACCACTTAAATGCCATAGGCAAGGAAAAGACCTCACTTTTGGAGACATAGCTTTGTCTTGGAAATAAAGATGATGGTTGTTCAAGACCATGAATGTATTAAGTGCCACCAAACTGTTCGCTTCAAAATTTCTATTTTTTTTTTCAAGACAGGGTTTCTCTGTGTACACTTGGCTGTCCTAAAATCACTTTGTAGACCAGGCTGGCCTCGAACTCAGAGATCTGCCTGCCTCTGCCTCTTGAGTGCACAGCTCAAAATTTCTACTTTTGTTGAATGAATTCTATCTCAATGAATCACTTTTTATTTACTGATCTGTATGTATGTATGTATGTATGTGTGGAGGGTTTTGCTGTTGTTGTTGTTTTTTTTTTCCCCTTTTCTGTTTTTCCTCAAGACAGGGACTCAAACTGAAAGATACACTTGCCTCTATCTCAAGTACTGAGATTAAAGATATAAGCTACCACTCCCAGCTTATCACTTTAGAAACAATGAACTCCTAATACATAACATGAAAAAGAAACTCAAAACACATCATGTTGCACAAAAAAAGGTTAGATTCAAAAGAATACACATGATTTCATTTAAGGAAAGTTTAATAATGAGCAAAACTAATGTATGATGACAGAAGAGAGGACAGTTGTCTATGTGGTTGGGACTGAGTATAAGCACGTGATACAAATGCTGTTCACTGTGATGGTGTTTGCTAATCAAGAATAAGTGTACACTTATCAAAACTCAATTTTGCCTCAAGGTCTTAACATTTAACTGAACTTAAAAGTGGTTTATTTGGCTTACCATCCTGACCATTTTATATAATAACTTTTATTTGTGTATGTGTGTGCAGAGCGCACTTGTGGAAGTCAGGACAACCTGATGGAGTTTGTCCCTCCTCCTACCTTTGCATGGGTTCCCGTGACCCTAAGGCTGTGTAGCCAGTGCTTTATATACTAAGCCCTCTTACCTGCCCTTGAATAAAACGTTTATGGCTCTTTTGTGTATACAAAGCATGGCCACAGTCACAGACATTCTTATTACTCCAGGTTTCCTCCTTTGTCACTCTCCAGGAACTGTGGGCATTTTCTATTGCTGTAGATTAGCTTTCATGTACATCATTTACCACAGGAAAAACATGTTTGTTTTAAAGGGAAGAAATTCACTATGCAATAAGCAAACATGCCCTCAGCAGAAACTGTACTTTGAATTTTTCTTTTTCCCAGGCTAAAGAGTGCTGGATGGCATTGGCCGCCACAGCTCTGTACCAGCCACATAGAGGCAGCATTACTTTAGAGCATCTCATGGCCTTAGCCAATTTTTACTGATTAAAAAATTCAACAAGGGGGCTGGAGAGATGGCTCAGTGGTTAAGAGTACTGACTACTCTTTCAGAGGACCCGGGTTCAACTCCCAGCACCCACATGGCAGCTCCCAACTGTCTGTAACTCCTGTTCCAGGGGATCAAACACCCTCACATAGACATACATGCAGTCAAACACCAATGTACATAAACTAACAATAAATATTTTTAAAACTTCAACAAACTCCATGAATTATCCATTACTTTACTATAAAATAGGATCTAGTTTAGTCAGATGAATCTGTCCAAACCCAGGCTGACGTAGGTGCTCTGACCTTGCTTATGGAAGGGAAGGATAAACTGTGCAGCTGCTTTAGGTATCTTAGGTGAATTTTCAATTTATGATGAGATTATCAGAATATGATTATCAGAATATTTTAAGAAGCAGGTCATACAACACACCCAAACACCACTGAAACAGACTCCCAAACAACGGACTCAAAAGAACTAAAATTTCCCCATGACCGTCAAGCTCGTGGAGGCAAAGGCTAGTTAGCCCCTGGCACTAGAGTGGGCTGCCTCCTCAAAGGGATTACGGAAAATTCAGCTCACAAATTAACATATGCACGTTTCCTGGTTTTAGGTTCATCCTTTTCTATACAATTTTAACGCTGCCATAGGAAAGGCTATCTTCCCCAGATATAAATAACTTATTTTCTCCCTTGCTAATTTCTGTTCCTGAAGTAGAGGGAAACTAAAGCTTATTGGCCTCTATGCCTACTAGCAACACTTACCTA